TGGCCTCAGAAGTCACATAGTGTCACCTCTTCTGTACTCTGTTGTCACAAAGATGTACAGAGTTTCAAGGAGTATCATGTATTCCCATCAGAGGATTATCAAGGTCACACTGTAAAGAGCAAGTGGGAAGGGGAATATCATGGCCATCTTTGAAAAATACAAGCCACCACAATTGCAAACATTAACCAAAAGCAAGTCAATGAAGCAATATTAATATCCGACAAAGCGGATTTTAACACAAGCATTACTAGAGACTTAGAGAAACATTTCATAGTGATCGAAGGTTCAATTCACCAGAAAGATGTAATAATTTTAAATTTCTATAATCTAATAACATAGCCTCAAAATATATAAAGCTAAAAATTGACAGAACTAAAAATTAAAATCCATCATCTTAGTCCAATGTATATTTTTCTAAAAAACAACTATCTCAGTGACTGATAGAATGAGACAAAAAAAAAATCATTAGGTAGTTTGAATAAAATAATAAACAAAATTAACCTAATTGGCATTAATAGAACATTCACTCAACAATTACAGGATATATATTTCTATCATGTGCACATGGAACATTCACCAAAATAAGTCATATACTGGGCCATACACATGTCAACAAATTTTTAATGGTTGAAATCATACAGGATATGTTTTCTAACTATAGGAGAATTAAGATAGAAATCAATAAAAACAGAAAAATAAATAATAGAAATTCAAATTAAAACCACACTTACATACTACTAACCAGAATATCTAAAATTAAAGACTGACAATAGCAAATATTAATGAGGATGTGAAGCAATAAGAACTCCTATTCATTGCTGGTGAGAGTATAAATTAGCATAACCATTTGGAACTATTCTGCAGTCACTACTAAAGGTAAACATATGGCTGTCCTCTGACCCAGCAGGCCCACTCCTGATATATACTTAACAGAGATAAGTATATATGTGCACCAGAAGGTAAGTACTAGAAAGTTTCAGCAGCTAGCAGTCGTTAAGGATATAGGATGTTTAAACAAATTGTTGAACTGTCCAATTAGTAGTAGGCTAGATAAATAAAGTCTGATATATATATTTTTTAAATACTGCCCTAGGGAATATGCATTTTATTAACTGCCTGTCACTTGGGTAGGATTGAGCTTCTCAGATTATTGGTTAGGAAGGCAAACAGAGAGTTCAAAACAAAGGTGGGGAAGGGTGGTCACTGACAGGAGAGGTAGGAGGCAGGCAAGACCAATTCTGCTGGTATCACAGTTTTACATAAAGTTAACCTGCCGCAGAACAATAGCATCTATTAATAGGGAAGTGCCAATGGCATTAAATCCTTAGCCCTTCCAGGAGCCAGCCCCCCCCCCCCTTCCTAGGCAAAAACAGGCTCAGCCTGAAAGACCCACTTACTTGCAGAATGAGCTGAGCTTCCTTAAAGCAAGGTCCCACATCCAGAAAAACTTTTCCCTGGATTCTCAGTAACTGCTGCTGAGCCCTTTTGGTTTTGATGCCCTGCTTGGTGTGTGCATAGCCCTTAGCAATTGGTTTCTAGATGGTGATCCCAAATCAGCTAGCCCTTTTCAGTAATTTTCAAGGAATGTGAACATATGATGACATTTCATGGGCTTTCTCTTCCCACAATGTCATCATAAAATCTGAGGTATAAACTATTACAACTGCACAGGCTTTTGAGCTATCATCCAATCAGCTAGCCCTTTTCAGTAATTTTCAAGGAATGTGAACATATGATGACATTTCATGGGCTCTCTCTTCCCACAATGTCATCATAAAATCTGAGGTATAAACTATTACAGCTGCACAGGCTTTTGAGCTATCATCCAATCAATCCCACTGCATTACACAGAACCAGGCCCAAACCAGCTCAGATGAATGAGTGTACAGTGCTTTTTAAAATGAAAAGACAACCCACAGACTGGGAGAAAATATTTGCACATTACATACCTGATAAGGAACTTGTATCTGGAATATATTTTTTAAAACTCCCAAAACCCAATAATAAAGAAACAAGCAACTCAATCAAAAAATGGAAAAACAGATTTGAACCCATTCTTCACCAAAAAAGATATGTAGATAGCAAATAAGCACAAGAAAAGATGCTCGAAATCCATAGTCATTAGGGAAATGCAAATTAAAATCACAATGAGTCAGTCTCCCAAAGACTGACCACACCAAATGTTGGTTGGAATATGGAGTATCTGGAACAATCGTACTGCTGGTGGGAACGTAAAATGGCACAACCACTTTACAAGCAGTTTGTCAGTTTCTTACAAAGTTAAACATACACCTATACTATGCAATCCAGACATTCTACTCCGGTATTTACCCAAGAGAAATAAAAACCTATGTTCTTACAAAGACTTGTACATGAATGTTTATAGCAAATTTACTTTTAATAGCCGAGAAACTAGAAATAACTCAAATGTCCATCAACAAGTGAATAGATAAACCCATTGTGGTATTTTTATACACAGGAATTCTATACAGCAATAAAAAGGATTGAACTATCAATTCATACAACAACATGGATGAATCTCAAAATGATTATGCTGAGTGAAAGCGGTCAGACAAAAAAAAGTACAAAATGCAAAAAATGCAAACTAATCTCTGTAGTGACAGAAAATAGAGCCGTGGTTGCCTGGGGAACACAGGGCAGGGAGCGGGTAGGAGGGAAGGCTTTCAAAGGGGATGAGGAAACACCGTGGGCTGATGGACATGTTCACAATCTCGATTGTGGTGATGGTTTCACAGAAGTATACACATGTCAAACCTTACTAATCCGTACAACTTAAATATGTGCAGATTATATATCAGTTATACCTCAAATAAAGCTGTTTAAAAAAAAGAAAAGATAAATGAAACCCTCTTCTAGGAGGCAGCATGGTGCTGTAAAAAGAACTTAAGTGATGCAGTTGAGATCAAAATTGAGGTTGGAGCTGCTCTCCCACTCATCAGCCATGAGAGTGCACATAACTTAATCATAAGAGCGGTTTTACCCAGTGGTAGAGATAAATAATATAATGATATATATAAAGGCACATTAGGTATTTGACAAATGGTGGTTCTCTTCCCTTTTCCTCCCAGAGAAAGATATCTGACAGCCAATTCCTTTCAGTAACTCATGATGTCAAGAAATGTTTATTTAACTAAAGTCCCACACACACTAGTTAAAACACCGTGTTTCTTTAATTCTGCCATAAGCAGATACTGTGTTCTAAGCAACAGATCATCACTTTATTGCTGTTGGTCCCCATCCTGAACAGTCCTCGCTGTCCCTTGCTAAGTGCCTGAGATTCCATCCTTTTCGTTTCATCTCTTTAGCTAAAGGTTTGAGTCTGTTTTAAAACTAAATATGCACGAAGTCAGCAAATACCCCACCAATGGACTCTTAGTTCTTATACTAGTTTCCTAGCTGCTGCGACAAATTACCACAAACTGGGTGGTTTAAAAACCACATACATTTATTCCCTCCCAGTCTTGGACATCAGAATTCCAAAATCAAGGCAGTGGCAGAACCACACCCCCTCCGGAGCTGTAGGGAAGACTCCTGCCTTGTCTCTTCCTAGATCCTGTAGACCACGGGCATCTCTTGCCTTGTAGCAGCATAACACCAATCTCCGCTGCTCCTTCAAATGTTCTCTGTCTTCTCCTCTTCTCTTGTAAGGACGTACGTCAGTAGCTTTAGAGCCCACCCTAATCCAGGGTGATCTCAACGTGAGATGTTTAACAAAATTACACCTGCAATGATCCTTTTTCCATAGAAGATTACAGTCACAGGTTCTGGGAGACAACTGTTTGGAGGGCCAACATTCACCCCACGAAGCCCTAGCTCTAGCCCCTAGCAGACATAACGATATTCTTTCTCGTGGAACTAGAATGGGGCCCAGCAAAACTTCACCCTGTGCTTCAAACAACCACTTTCAACCAACCAAAATTAGTTCAGAGATGAAGCCTCATTGCTGTCCTGACAGGGAGTCTCAACATTTCAAGTCTCCTCTGTAAATCTCATCTTAGGGTGAATTAAGAACCTGAAGAAGGGGTGTAGACAGTGCATATGGTCAAATCTTCATTTTTGCCTGAGTTAGGCACTGGCCTCAAACATCTTAAATTCAAACCTAGCCACTGAGCCACTCTTTCTGGAGGAAAACCTGCAGAATTCTTCTATCTCCCAGCTAGACAAATTTCCCTAGGTAATTCATGAGTTGATACTAAAATCTAAAATCCCTGACCAGAGGGGCAACTTGGTGGGGACTTCTCCCTTACCCATAATCTCCATCAGACCTCCCCAGTCACCCAAATAAACACAGGCCCCAGCCCCCCACTGAAGAGAGGATGGGCATTATGAGTAGCTGCGCTCCCCAGCTAGAACCTGCAAACAAGCTCCCAAATAAACACAGCCTAAGAAATAAGTGTGTTTGTAACACGAATCGGCCTCTTCCTTCCTTGTTATTATCAGTTTTCCTTTCCAAATAAAGAAACAAAGACTTCTTTACCCTTCTCTTGTTCCTGATTTCAAGAATGTTTTTCTGTTTCCCTATATATCTTTCCAAGTCAAAATCCATTTCTTGCTTTGGCTTTTCAGAACTGGATTTTTCAAGAGCCTTTGTAGTTTTTTTAGAATTCCTTGGTGATCTGGTAAGGCTTCCTGTCATGGTGACATTTTTTCCTTCACCTTCAGTGAAGTTCCTTAACTGTGCTCTCCTTTCCTTTCCCACAGTTAACAAGCATCTGTGTGCCTGGGGGTGGGGGGCGGGGCAGTGTCCAAACAAAACATTTCGGTCTGTAAGGATATTTAAATGAGGCTTTTATTTAGATTTGCAAATAGGGAAACCACCTCTCAGTGTGAGAAGTAAGTCTGTGCAAGCCAGCAGAAAAAGCCAGGAGGTTTTATAAATTCAGGAAAGTCTACACAATAAACAAATTCCAAACATTGTTTGAAGACTGAATGGATAACTGACTATAACAGACTGAACAAATGGTTTCTCAGACCTTGTACAATATTTATGGCTACTGTAATCTAGGCTATTCATAAGTAATTCCCTAAATTTAACATGTTGACACATCCTGTCTTCCCAGGATTCCTCTAAGCAATGTTACCTGGGCTCATCTATATAGTGGGTTTCTTGGTGATAACAAATTTGAGAGTCTGTTTGTCAAGGAGCAAATTCTAATGAAGAGTCAGCATCTTGGGCAAATAGAAAACAAGTCAATTAAGTTTAAAAAAAAATGGAGTCACTGTGGTTCTTTTCTTTTACTCTGCTTTCCTGGTCTCTTTTCTTCTTCATCAGTAGGAGATGGGGGTGTGAAGTGTGATTTCTGTGTGTCCTTATTGTGTTTCGTTGGGAAACGGCTGCTCCTGTCTACCTTTCTCTCTTACATTTCTTTTTCTGTGAAGATTTTTCCACGTCAGCTCTTTCACGAAGCCAGCAGAAGCAGCTTGATAAAAATTGATTTTCTTGTTTTACTGATTTCTCTCCTTCCTTAGAACCTGAATTTTGCCTGTCTGTGGTCACTTTCTCTGAAGTGACTGAACACCTAGAGGGAGCTCAGAAACCTGGTCCTTTTTCACAAAAGCCAAACCAAAAGACACCCTCTCCTGGGCCTCTGCCTCCATTTCATTTCCAAGCGTCTCCTTGACAGGAAGCCATCAGTCTAGGGGGTCTGGGCTGAAGGACCCCAATTCTACTCCATGCTGCTTCTGGACAGCCTGGCACTTGGTTTAGAGAAGTGGCTTTCAAACTTGGCTGAGGATAATCTGCAATAGGACATACTGTTTACATCTCAGTTCTTATCATATATACATATACATATAAATTTTATAGTTTCACAAAACTCCACTTATCCTTACAATGGTGACTTTTATTAATAGTTGTATAAATAATACTAATTATCAAAAAATAAAATAAGACTCCCTTAATAAAAACTGGTGAAATAGAAAATGTGACTCACATTTATGCAAAATTTGAGGCTCTGACTCTAGTTTTGTGAAATATTGATATTTGAAAACTAAGACCGCCTTGAAACCCTGGGCTCAGAATGTCCACAAGCATGATTTGCTCTCCCGTATTGGCATTATTTTGTTGTTACTTCCCATCCGCAACATATATGGGTCCTTCACTGATATTTATTAGGTTCTCCATCACTCCATCAACTCTTCTCTCATCATTAGGGAGAAGAGTTCCTAAGCATTTGCTCAAAACTCACTTCTTAGCCCTTGGAATAGCACTGTTCCTATCATCTATGGGCGCTTAACAAATTACTCCAAAACTTAATAACTAAAGACAGTAATTTTGTTTTGCTCCTCTTTTCGTGGCTCAGAAGTTTGGACTGGCTTGACTGGGCATCATATCTCTATTTCACGTGGCGTCACCTGGGGTGGCCTGATGCGCTGGAGGATCCACCTTTAAGAGGTTCATTCACACAGTTGGCAGTTGGCTGGGAGCTCACATGGCTGGACTGTTGACTGAAGGCTGTCTAGCTTGGTGGTCTGGGGGTAATCAGACTTCTTTTATGGCAGCTCAGGGTTTCCAGGGAGAATGCCAAGAGCCAGGGAAAGGAAGTTACCCTCAAGACCCAGGCTCAGAAACTGGCCTCGTATCACTTCTATCATGTTCTATTATCAATCATATTCTATATCAATGCAGTTAAAGAGACCACCCAGATTCAAGGAAAGTAGACATAGATCCCACTCTTCCATGCAAGAAGTGTCACAGATCTGGGGTCACCTTTAATTCACCATAAGAAAAAATTGCTAATTGCTAATATAAGCCTCAGAGATTGTATACATCTTGGCCTCAGAAGGGCAGAGATTAGGCATGGACAGAACACAACCAAGCCCTCATTTAGCTTTTGGGCTTGCTATTGATGTCTCAATAAAATGATGGGCATATAGCAAACACTTGATAAATCTTGTTGCTGATTGTTGTAACTGCCACATTCCCTTAAATATAGTGCTACTGAGGACAGATCCAGTCAGTCAGTGAGTCACAAAATACCTGTTAAGCATTTACTCTGTGCCAGACATTGTGCTGGGTGCTGAAAACATAATGGTCAACAAAATATCCAGCCATGGTCCCTGCCCATTTAGAGGATATGATCTTGAAAAGGAGGGAGATATTTATTAAGTCAGTGAGTCACAAAATACCTGTTAAGCATTTACTCTGTGCCAGACATTGTGCTGGGTGCTGGAAACATAATGGTCAGCAAAATATCCAGCCATGGTCCCTGCCCATTTAGAGGATATGATCTTGAAAAGGAGGGAGATATTTATTAAGTCATTTCATAAATAAGTATAAACTTGCATCTGGTAAAAGTGCCATTTAGGTGGGGTATAAAGGGCAAGATTAGGGAAGACCTCCCTAAAGAAGGAATGATTCAGTTAAATCTGAAAGATGGGGAAGATGGAGGAGGACTGAGCACCTGGGCTGCAGAAATGGACTTCTGCAAAGTCCCTAGGCAGAAGGGAACTTGGTGAGGATGGCTACCTAAAAGAAGACCACTGGGAAGGAGTGAGCCAGAGAGAAAGTAGTTGAAGCTGAGGTTAGAGAGGAGGAAGGGGCCAGAGACTGCAGGGCCTTGGGGACCACTGGGTTTGATCTGAAGGTGGCACGAGGACACCTTGCCCAGTGCCTAGCACTTCCCATCCATTCCTCCAGCCCCACTTCCCCAGTCATGCTTATTTGAAATGCATCTTCTGGTCACACAGAGTATTTGGTGCTAGAATGGGAATAATCCAAGATAACTGCTATCAGAAAACTTTCAGGAACTATGGCTGATGATGCCACATTGCACTACCCCTTAGGCTGCATGGGCAGGTCTGGCCTTGTGGTCCTAGGGAGAGTCACAGACTACTTTCTCCTGGCAAGGACATTATTTTCTTTTTGGCCTTGCTGATACTAAGCACACCATTCTCCTAAGGGTGGACTCTGATTGTGGATGTTTATTACAAGAGAATTATTCTGCTAATCAATTCAATTCTAACTTATTTTATTCAAATCTGACTTATCTTGATTCTAACAAAGCTCAAGTTAGCTTTGTTTAGTTCAGCTGGACTCAGCTCAACTCAACTCAATTCATCCATCCATACATTGATCCATCCATGCTTTCAACAAGTACTTTTTAAGTACTTTTCTATGTCAAAGTCTATATTGGGCCTGGGAATCCAGCTGGAGTTGTTGGTACCAACCAACTCACCTCTCTGTTCTGATCTAAATGGTATCAGCATATTGTGGTAGAAAGAAGACTGGATTTACAGCAGGACTGCCCTGTGTTTGCAACTTTGCCCTGCCATTCACTAACTGCCTTGGGCAATTTTCTTAACCTCTCTGAGCCACAGTTTCCTCATCTATAAAGCAGGAATAATAATACCTACTTGGGGTAGGGGTGGGGAGATTGTCAGAATTAAATGCGTAGAAGGGACTAAAAAATGGTGTCCATTAAATTCCTCTACTCATTTTTAACTTCTCTGGACCTAAAGGAAAGACTAAGTAGAAAACAAACAAACAAACAAACAAACAAACAAAAAACCCAAAGCTCACCCCAACACCTGGAAACAGGAGAACTCATTAGGGAAGAATTCACTAGTAAACAATAGTGTGGTCCTATTCCACCACTACAGAGTGGACCTAACACTTGTCTCTGCCTAGATTCTCCATGTTCCTCAAAAGTCCCTTTTGACACCTCCCTCCACTGAATTCTTTTTGGGAAATTGCCTTGACATTTACCCAAGTCACTTTATTGCAACCCTGGGAGCAGCCTGACCCTTGATTTCTTGTGCTCAGAATCAGGCCCAATTGTTTGAGTGCATCTTTGGCATTTCTCTTGGTGCTGGGCCAGTCCTGCATTCTCAGCCCTTTCCCTCACAGCAGGGAGAGGACATGGGAACAGAGGGAAGGGTGGCAGCCCACTAATCCAGCAGAACCCTGGGTAGAGGTACAGTTAGGGACATTTTAGAGTATTGATAGCAGAGGAAAAGGAGACAAGAGAAAAAAAAAAGAGCAGCAGGACATCCAAGAAAGTGAAGCCCCAGGAGGGTGGGTCCCCCAACCACAGACATGTGCTCTTCCCTCCACAATCTAGAGGACCATCATCATCTCACACAACACAGGTGCCAACTCTGGTCAGAACATAGACAGGCAACTGAGCCACAGGACACCCAGAATTCTGCATTCTCAGGTTCCCTGAACTTAAGAAAGCTTTCCCTTTATCTCTCATTATTTTCCACTCATTGCTAAAATCTGATTGAGGTTTCTCCTCTAAAAAGAATGCCTTCCATCCAGATGCTGCCCAGGGTCACCTCACATGAATATGCTCTTCTCTTAGGTACTCGATGGTCTCAGATGCAGAAACAGAAAGCATTTTCATGGAGCCCATTCACCTCTCCTCAGCCGTTGCTGCCAAACAGATCATCAATGAGGGTAATGCAATCAGAAGCTGGGTGGGAGCAGGGACAGTCCAGTGGTCACCTGGAGGCCCGTGGAGGGGCCCACTGGAAGGTGTAACGTGCTTCTCCGGAGCTGCCCGTCACATTAAGAGGAGCAAATCTGAAGAAGGCAGTCCTGCCAACCCCGCCTCGTCAACTTTAATGGGACAGAGATGGAAATTATGATGCATCAGTGTGAATAGTTCTCTAGTTGACAGCCAGGGAGGCAGCTCCAATCTTCCCTGGGGCCTCCCATTTTTATTTATTTTTTTTATTTTTTGACCCATAAGGGGATCTTAACCCTTGACTTGGTGTGGTCAGCACCTTGCTCTCCAAAGTGAGCGAACCGGCCATCCCTATATAGGGATCCAAACCCATGGCCTTAGTGTTATCAGCACCGCACTCTCCCAGGTGAGCCACGGGCCGGCCCTGTGGGGCCTCCCATTATAGTGTTGGTTACCTTCAGTTCTGAGGTGGCTTATGGTACAGACGCAGACCTGAGAGCCCAAGAAACAGGTAGGAGCATCAAGAGAGTTCTGTTCAAAGGGGTGTCTAAATTTAGATCTGCATTTCCACTAGTGCTTAAAGATGGTCATCAGACTGAAGTATGCATGGGGAGAAGGCAGGGAAAGGCGGGGTGAGAGCAATGTTAGTACTTACACAGTAAATTCTGGAGCAGACAACTTGTTATAGTTCATTCAAGGATACTCATCCTGAACGAATGAATTTATTTTCTAATCAATTTTGGGTAAACAATCATTTCCTATTTCTCTCCTCTCCGTTCTCCTCCCTTCTCCCTGGGTGGCCTCTCCCACTTCTACTGATGATACACAGCCCACTGGCCTTTGGGCTGAATCTGGCACCCACCACCAGTAGCCACCATGCTTTCCCTGGCCCTCAGTCATGAGAACCACAATGATCCTCCTTCTCTACCCTAACCCCAGGTATTTCTTGGTCTCCTGACCTTTTGGGTCCCCACCAGGGTCCCTGGAGGACATGTTGATCTCTTGCACATCTCACAGAGAACCGGAAACACAGTTTGCTGCTGCTGGATGCTCTGGGCACCCCAGGAGGCCCCATCCTATTAGAGCCCCCTCTGCTTTTTTTTTTTTTTTTTCTTTTTCCACCCTACCTGGGGTTTCTGTTACCTTGCTCCTCAGAGTCAGGCATTGTCCTCGCCTGGTCTGGTTCTCTCTGAATCACTGCCAGCACCACCCCAGCTCTGGAAGGTCTTCTCTTCCTCCTTTGTGGTTGGCAATTTCCCTAACCTTCCACACATCACCTCTGCTCTGTGCTTCCCTCTGGGGCCACTCTCCAGGCTTCGGTTCTTGATAAGTTAAAGCCCAGCTTGAGGAATTGGGAGAAAAACATTGTTTCTCTTTGAAAGCTTCACTGTCAAGTCTATAGAATGCTATGGACATTCAGAGTCTAGTTTGAAACTAAAAGATGAGCGATGCCTTCTTTTATTCTGGGCCTTCTTCTCGCTCCCTTTCTCTGGGGCAGTGAGCCGAAGCCTCTTTAGCCTTAGTGGCTGAAGGGCTATGGGGGGAGAAAAAAACAATATATGACAGAGAAAGGAAAGCATATCAGGTGATATTTCAAAACATTGCCGTGCTCACTAGTGATCAGAGGAATAAAAACGTAACCTGAAGAACCATCGGTTTTCGTGGAAGTCTGCACACGCCATATATCTAAAAGAACGGGGAAAATGTGTGGGTTTTACTCTCTTCTGAAGAAACATCAGGTAACAGAAATACACAGGAGGAACTGGTGTCAGGAGGTAGGTGGACTCAAGAGGCCGAGGGGTGGACCAGAGACCTACGGAAAGAAAGTCAGAGTGGCCAGTGGGCTGAGGGGCTGGGACATTTGTTTTCGAACTGAAAAGGGAAGAAATCAAAACGGCAACCCACTACATCAATAGCTCAGGAAGAGAATACTGTATATTTTAATGAGGTGTCAGCAAGTTCTATTTTTTAGTAAAGATATCTAAGTAGGTGAGGAGGGGAGAGGGGCTTTTTCATTTGCTATGAAAGGTCCCAGGAGAGCCAGTGGAGAAAACTGGGTGGTGGAGAAAATAGGAACACTTCATCTATTTTTAAACAAAATAGAGCCCTGGGATTGCAGAGGTTTTCTTCTTTCTGCTTTTGAAATAGAGATCAGAGAACATTTAGAGCTGAGACCTGATGCAGGGACGTGGGGGCCCATCAGGTGGTCTAGACCAGAGAAGAGAGAAGAGAGGAGCTTTAGGATAATGGACTCCTCAGCTCTGGGCTGAAACCAGGATGCTCAGGATTCCCAGCCCTTGAGCAGCAAGCCCGGCTTATAGACACCTGTCAGGACCTGATTCCCTGAAGGGCAGGGCCAAGTCTGTCTTCCAGATGTGGCTGTGCTGTCCATGCCGCTGTCCCCAGAGACTGCCTGCCCATCAGGGGAAGAGATGGCGCCTGCAAGAGGTTATGGCTGACACAGAGGACACACCTTTCCTGCTTCTTTTTTCTTTCCCCCATTCAGTATTTTTACTACTGAGAGGAAAGGTTTTGCTCTCCTCTGCTCCTCGTCTACTTCTTAGAGAAAGGAAATATCTTACTTCTCCTCCAAATGAGGTAAACTGTGAATAAATATATTATTGGAAGAAAGATAAAAGTTCACCCCACACGTGGGTGAGTTGGAATTCTGATTCACTTGGAGTCTGAGATTTTCCAACCTGTTGTCAGAAAGTTCCTGAATCCTGTTTTGAGAGTGGCATCAGAGTTCGTGATAAACTTTTGCCTTCTGTCTGAGGCTTGGGAGGCTGAGAATTATAGGCGCTTACTCAAGTGGTGGGGAAGCAGACAATAAATGAAATAAGCCAATTAAAAGATAATATCATATAAATAACTGGTGAAAGTTTTACTTTTCCCAGGGTTATTTGCACTCCATATATAAAGGCATCAAACTAGTAGAATGAATTACATTATGAAGAACCTCATTTATTCATTTGGTAAATACCTCTGAGCACCCACTTTGTACTGGGCACTGAGGAGTTATAAGTATGAATCAGATGTACACCTAGTACTGAAGGACCTTGGTCTAAAAAATTATCAGCCAGCTTTAGAGAAACAGGGGAGGGAGTAGGGGAAACTGGCTTCCCCTCACCTGCACCTATACAATCCTGCTGCTGCTCCTGACCACAAGTGTCCAGGCCAATGAAGTGGCCCCCTGAGCCCCTATTAAGTCCTTCCTGGCAGACTCTGCTGGCTTCTCTCCATACCCAGAGTCCTGGCAGCAAACTGGCCAAGGGCAGTTTCTCCCAAGGAACAGGGAAGGCCGTGGTCTTTCTAACTCTTTGATGAGGATGCTGCCTGTCCCTTCCAGAACTCAAACCGCGGGGGGTCCGAGCAGACACAGAGTGTCCAGGCATGCTGGAGTCCGCCGAGCAGCTGCTGGTGGAGGACCTGTACAACCGTGTCAGGGAGAAGATGGATGACACCAGCCTGTACAACACCCCCTGTGTCCTGGACCTCCAGCGGGCTCTGGCCCAGGACCGCCAAGAGGCCCCCTGGAACGAGGTGGATGAGGTCTGGCCCAACGTCTTCATAGCTGAGAAGTGAGTCTGGCTGCTGGGGGACATGACCCTTTGTCCTACTGTTCTGGTTAGTGCCCAAGAGAGATGAAACTCCCCTAACTTTCACCAAAGACCCACATAGCTCCATCCAGCAAGTTGAGGCTGCCTGACCACTTACACTGCCCTGGCCCTGGAGAAAGGCACCCCCCACCAACCTGCACACAGAGATCCCCAGGCAAAATGCTGGCGTGACGGCTTATCCTCTACCCTCCTGCCAGGTCTCTCTGTCATAGCCTTGTCCCTGTAGGTGCCCTCTCTGGACCTCCTTCCCTGCCATGGCCTTGCCAATTCTACCATCCCATGACCTCTATAACTACCATATAACAAGACACTAGGAGCCGCTGACAATATTGATATGCCTATGTATTTACCAACTTATGAAAATGTTCACAATTGGGCCGGCCCGGTGGCGCACTGCTATAGTGCGCCGCTTGGGAAGCGTGGCGCGCTCCCGCCGAGGGTTCGGATCCCACATACAGACCGGTTCCCGCTCACTGGCTGAGCGAGGCGCGGGAGCAACACCGAGGGCTGCGATCCCGTTGCCGGTCCTGGTCCAGTACGGGGGCGACACTGAGGGTTGCGATCCATTGCCGGACACGGAAAAAGACAAAAAAAAAAGAAAATGTTCACAATATAAGAAGAGGAAAATTAGATTACAAAAGAATATATATGCAGTATAATGCTGTATGAATAATATATAGACGGATGTGTGTGTGTATGCTTTTCATAGGCAACAGATTAGAAAGAAATGTGATAAAATGTTAACTATTTCTCTAGGAGGTGGTTTTACAAGTGGCTTTTATTTTCTTCTTTAGGTTTCTTTTGATTGTGCAGGTTTCCTAGAGTAGACATTTATTGTTCTTATAATCAGAAAACTGTTGCTTTTTAAAAGTGCATCAAGGCCGGCCCGGTGGTGCACTGGATAGTGCGCCGCTTGGGAAGCATGGCGGCGCTCCCGCCCGAGGGTTCGGATCCCACATACAGACCGGTTCCCGCCCACTGGCTGAGCGAGGCGTGGGAGCAACACCGAGGGTTGCAATCACGTTGCCGGTCCCCGGTCTGGTACGGGGGCAACACTGAGGGTTGCGATCCGTTGCCGGACACGGAAAAAGACAAAAAGACAAAAAATAAAATAAAATAAAAATAAATAATAAAAGTGCATAAATGGTTTCCAGAACAAAAATGATAACAACTCATCCACGTCCTATTCCTTCAGGGGCTTGCCAGTGCATCATTAGTACCAATAAGTTAATTTGTGAAACTAAGTTTTGCTGATCCACTGACTACTTAATGAAATGTTCTCCCAGTGTAATTATCCATATATTGAGGAGTGAAGGAGGGAATTTGGGACCCCAGAGCAGGCAGTAGGGACAATAGCTTTGGGCATTTGGTCTTAAGCTCCACCATAGAATGATCAGTATCTAGAATCTGATCCCCAGAGCCAGGCCCCAAGTCCTAGTGATCTTTAAATAGATCTATAGATCCAGGAGCACTCACCGGATAGTTAGCAGGAACCCCAGGCGTATTTGGAGACACCTAAAGTCCTTTGCTCTGTCTTAGGCATCCCTGTCCTTAAGGCCTTTTCAAACTCAGCTCCACTTATTCTTCTGCAGCAAAAAGAGCTCTGAATTAGAAATCTAAAATTCCAGGTCTGGTTCAGGGTCTCTTTTTTCCCCCTATTGGGAAGTTATAAAAGCTCTTGGATTTGTTTATTTAATACTTTATTTATTTATTTATTTGTTGGCTTGCCAGTACGGGGATCAAGCCTTGGGCCTTGGTGTTATCAGCACCATGTTCTGACAAGCTCAGCTAAATGGCCGGCCTCTGATTTATTTTTATAATCTTCACATGGGAATAAAAATAGTTACCCTGTCTACCTCTTAAGTATATTACTATGATAAAATAAAACAAAGCTTAGGAAAGGATTTTTTAAAATATAGCATGCAATATCAATGTAAAATACACCGGGTTTTATTATTTTTGTCTGACACTTTTGTGCCCTGATGGATTCTGTTCCCAAGGCATGGGATTTTAAACTAGAGGTTTCTGGATTATTCAAAGGTGTTCTTACTCATCATCTTGTTCCCCTCTTCATCCTGCCCTCCCTACCCAGCTCCCTGTCTCTTTTTCCTCTTACTGTGGCCAAGTCACTGGCCCCATTTTGTAACAGTATTTGCACAGAGTCCCAAACATCCAGCAGCAGAAAGGGAGGCACTCACCCAGCAGCTGCCCACCCCCCGCAAGCAGGTTCCGCATCATGGTGGTAATGCACCTGTCTGTCTAGTCCTGACTAGTAAACATGTCCCTGTCTCCTCCCCCAGGAGTGTGGCTGTGAACAAGGGGAGGCTGAAGAGGCTGGGGATTACCCACATCCTGAATGCTGCTCATGGCACCGGCGTTTACACGGGCCCCGAATTCTACACGGGCCTGGAGATCCAGTACCTGGGTGTGGAGGTGGATGACTTTCCCGAGGTGGACATCTCCCAGCATTTCCGGAAGGCTGCCGAGTTCCTCGATGAAGCCCTGCTGACCTATAGAGGTGAGGGGGTGGTCTGCCTGCTTCCACACGGGGAGAAGCAATGTGGGGAAGGCTATGAAAGCCTCCTGATTATCTGCCATGTCTGCAGGGCATCTGTCTTAGAAGGGTGTTTTCTCTAAGAGGAGAAAGGAAAGCATGATCATCCAGTAAGTAATTATTGAGGGCCTAACATGTGACAGGTACAATTCTAGGAACTATGGTGAAAGACAGACAAAGCTTCTGGCCTTTGAATCTTATGTTGTACTGAAAGGAGAAAAAGTTAAAAACAAAAAAAAGAAAAATGTCATATAGGTAAATACAGAAACTAGGTTGATATTCTAGAGGGACTAGCTAGCTCCTTGGAGAGGGTGGCCAAGAAGGCCTTTCTGAGGATGGGACATTGAAGGCGAGACAAAAAGGAGCTAACCATGGAAACATTGGAAGAAGAGTTCCTGGCCAAGGGAACTGTTAGTGCAAAGATCCTAAGGTGGGATAAGCTTGGCATGTTCAGGAATCAAAAGGTTAATGCGGATTAGCTGCTGGATGTGGGTTGGTGTAGCAGCGGCCCCATCTCACAGGAAGATGGAGGTCAGGCAGGGTAAGGAGGCTGAGAGGCACCTTGATCCAATGCATGTTTCAGAAAAGGCACTCCCTCTGCTTTGGAGAACAGACTGAGCAGGGAAGGAGGACAGCAGTGCTGAGCTATTGCTGTGATTCAAGTGAGGGCTGATATGAACCTTGTCTACGGAGTTTATAAGACTGAGTCTCAAGCAGGACAGGCCTTGAGCCCGTGCCATGGGGGCCGACAGCCTGGCCACAGGAGTTCAGGATTCGGTGTCCAGAAACCTGGGTCTGAGTCTCGGATTTGCCATGCTCTGTACCATGTGACCCTGGATACCGGGTTTCCTTACATATACAACAAAGATTAAAATGTTTAATCCTAAAGTTGCTGTGAGGAATTAAAATTTTAAAATTCGTATAAAAGGGCCCGCCCGGTGGCGCACTGCTACAGTGCGCCGCTAGCGCAGAGGCGCTCCCGCCCAAGGTTCGGATCCCACATACAGACCGGTTCCAGCTCACTGGCTGAGCGAGGTGTGGGGGCAACACCGAGGGTTGCGATCCAGTTGCCGGTCCCGGTGGGTACGGGCGCGACACTGAGGATTGCGATCCGTTGCCGGTCACGAAAAAAGACAAAAAGGAAAAAAAAAAATTCGTATAAAAGAGCTTACTTAGCACAACACTTAGAATATAATAAACGCTTAAAAAGTCTACAGCCATTACTATAATAAATAATATTGTTAATGGTTCCTGAGAAGGGTGTTGCCTGTTACCACCAATGGCGAGGATGGGTAACTTCTAGCGGAAACACACACACGTATACACTTAAACATATTATATATCTATCGCGTATACACGTGTACTTGCGTGTAAGTTACATATCCATATATTTATACACATACGTTGTATATAAACAGTTTTCCTCCTTTTCAACGCTTTCAGAACCCCTACCTTTCAAAACGTAAGGGTCGGCCAGTGTGGGCTGAGCGTGTCTGTCCCAGGTGTGTGGGGTCAGCTCCGCGGCTCCCCGGGTGCAGCACGCGGCAGGCACCGCACGGCCGTCGCCCCCGCCGCATCCCGGGGCCAGAGCGAGAGCCCGCGGGAGGAAGAGGACGGGTCGGTGCCCGGAGCTGCGCCGGCTCGAGCGGCAAGTTTGCAGAAGCGGGGACAGCGGGGCCGGCCGGCGGGCGCGGTGGCTCCGCCCGGGCTGAGGCCGCCAGGGCTTGCGAACGCG